CTCCGCCTCCGCCTCCGCCTCCGCCTCCGCCTCCTCCTCCTCCTCCTCCTCCGCCTCCTCCCTCCTCCTCCTCCTCCCTCCTCCTCCTCCTCCTCCTCCTCCTCCCCCATTCCTTCCTCCTCCTCGTCGTTCCTTTTCCTCCTCCCCCATTCCTTCCTCCTCCTCGTCGTTCCTTTTTCCTGTCCCCTCGATTCTGGCTGCACGTGAGGAGTGGCCCTAGGCGAGAGTGACCTCTCGTGCGCGCCTTTCGGGGGCCGCGGGGAGGCCGAACAGGAGCGCGCCGGCCGCTGCTGTCGCATCGAATTCAGCCGTCTGGGGACCACGCTGTGCCCGCACCCAAAGGTCACTCCGGCGAAAGGTCACCCCTAAGCCCCCCCTCTCCATCCACTGGTCCCCCCCTCTCCATCCATCGCCCCCCCCCCCCCCTGCATCCTTGAAGGGGCCCTGGGACACACGAATAAATCCGCCGATCCGGCGTGTGAGTTGAAGGGGGGGTGGGCCGGGGCGGCTCTGCCGGGGTAGGGGGGGGGGTCTTCCACAGATTGGGTTCGGTTGGTCGGGGTTCGGTTGGCCAAAACGGACCCAAACGTTGCCAAGAAGCCGCCAAGACGGGCCAATACGTTTCTGGATCGCCCAAAAATCGATCCAAGACGCCGAACATGAACCCAAGACAGCCCAAGAGGCCGCCAAGACGCCCCCAAAGGTCCCCAAGAGGTCTTCCAAAAGGGCCCCGACCGGCCAAAATCATTGATTTCCCTTGGGAAAACCTACATTTTTAGCATGTTCGCCTCTTGGACCTTCACAGTGTCCAAAACGGCTCAAGGGGCCCGCAAAAAGGTTCCAAGACGGCCTAAGAAGGGCTTACGCAGGCCCAGGAGGCCCCCAAGACGGCGCAAAGAGGGCTCCAGGACGGGCCCAAGAGGCGCCCAAAAGGGCTCCAAGACGGCCCAAGAAGGGCCCAAGACGGCCCAGGAGGCCCCCAGGAGGCCCCAAGAGGCCCCCAAGAGGCCCCCAAAGGCCCCAACTGGACCCCCCAGTGTCCAAAACGGCTCAAGGGGCCCTCAAAAAGGCTCCAAGACGGCCTAAGAAGGGCTTACGCAGGCCCAGGAGGCCCCCAAGACGACGCAAGGGGGTTCCAGGTTCGGAACGTATCCGGGACCTTCCCCAGATCGGACGGGACCCGTCCCGGGACCCTCCCCAGGACCCTCCTCGAGACCGTCCCGGGGCCCTCCCCAGGACCCTCCCCCGGAACTCCTCCCCGGAACCCCCGGGCACCTCCCCGGGAGGGAACGCGCTCTTGGATGTCCCGAGCGGTCCCGGGCGCTCCCGGCCCGTCCCGGCCGTCCCGGGCGCGGTCCTGGGCGGTGCCAGACGCGGTGACGGGCAATCCCGAGCGCGATCCTGGACAGTCCTGGGCGCCACATCTTAATCACCATCACAACCACCATCACCATCACCAGCATCATCATCAGCATCAGCATCAGCATCAGCATCAGCATCCCCATCATCATGATCGGCATCATGGTCAGTGCCATGATCAAAATCCTCCTCCTCCTCCTCCTCCTCCTCCTCATCATCATCATCATCAGCAGCATCATCGTCATCAGCATCATCATCAACATCAGCATCATCATCAGCATCGCCACCACCAACACCACCACCATCATCATCATGATCATCATCATCATCGTCGTCATCATAATCATCATCAGTATCATCATCATCATCATCATCATCATCATCAGCAGCAGCAGCATCATCATCATCACCATCATCAGCATCATCATCATCGTCATCGTCATCGTCATCGTCATCGTCGTCATCGTCGTCATCGTCATCATCATCACCACCATCATCATCAACATCATCATCATCAACATCATCATCACCATCAGCATCATCATCGTCATCATCATCATCATCATCATCATCATCATCATCATCATCATCATCATCATCCGAAGCGCCCCAGATCGGCGGCACTGGCCGGAGGCCATTTCAATACACACAAATAACAGGATTCACCATAGGTTCCCACATTTTCTGAGTTTTTGTCCTCACCCCCACTTCCCATATTTCCCCATATTTTCTGGGGAATCGCCGATTAATTGTGTCTGTGTGTTGTTTCTCCTCCTGCATCCTTCTCTCTCTCTCTCTCTATTTCTCTGTCCTTGCCGTGCGCCTCGCCAGGGCTCCGCGGGACCACACCGCAAGGGGGGTACACAAGACAGGTCCCGACGTGAAGCCCTGGCGCAAGCATTAGGTCGGGCATGTCCCTCTACAGGGGCATTTTGGGCGAAGAATGAACCAATTACCCTGGCGACGTACCCAACCCTTGCGCAATGCGGGGCATAAATACGCCAGGATTGCTACAACGGGGGCAATGACGTAACATGTACGCATGTGATTTTGCGAGCAGTAATCGGAAGGCTCGCAGGCCCCCGATCAAGATCTAAAGGCTACGTAAAAACAAATCACCCCCGTTGGCTGTGCCATGCCCCCGTTGCACCCAACGTATCCCACAGCAGCCCTTGAGACCCCCCGCGAGATACGTGTAGGCGCAACGTTATGGCCATCGCCCGGCAGATGGTCTGTTTCACAAATCACACCCGTTGGCTGTGCCATGCGCCCGTTGCGCCTAACGTATCCCACAGCAGCTCTCCAGAGCCCCCCCAGTGACGGCGAGGTCCCGCTCAGATCCCCGCGGTGCCTCAGTCCGCAGGACCCACCAGCAGCCCTCGAAAGTGGCGACAGTGTCCCAGATCGCAGCCCCCCAGGGACGGCGAGGTCCCGCTCAGATCCCCGCGGTGCCTCACTCCGCAGGACCCACCAGCAGCCCTCGAAAGTGGCGACAATGTCGCACATCGCAGCCCCCCAGGGACGGCGAGGTCCCGCTCAGATCCGCGCGATGCCTCACTCCGCAGGACCCACCAGCAGCCCTCGAAAGTGGCGACAGTGTCCCAGATCGCAGCCCCCCAGGGACGGCGAGGTCCCGCTCAGATCCCCGCGGTGCCTCAGTCCGCAGGACCCACCAGCAGCCCTCGAAAGTGGCGACAATGTCGCAGATCGCAGCCCCCCAGGGACGGCGAGGTCTCGCTCAGATACCCGCGGTGCCTCAGCCCGCAGGACCCACCAGCAGCCCTCGAAAGTGGCGACAATGTCGCAGATCGCAGCCCTCAGAGACGGCGAGGTCCCGCTCAGATCCGCGCGGTGCCTCACTCCGCAGGACCCACCAGCAGCCCTCGAAAGTGGCGACAGTGTCGCAGATCGCAGCCCCCAAGGGACGGCGAGGTCCCGCTCAGATCCCCGCGGTGCCTCAGCCCGCAGGACCCACCAGCAGCCCTCGAAAGTGGCGACAATGTCGCAGATCGCAGCCCCCCAGGGACGGCGAGGTCCCGCTCAGATCCCCGCGGTGCCTCACTCCGCAGGACCCACCAGCAGCCCTCGAAAGTGGCGACAATGTCGCAGATCGCAGCCCCCCAGGGACGGCGAGGTCCCGCTCAGATCCCCGCGGTGCCTCAGCCCGCAGGACCCACCAGCAGCCCTCGAAAGTGGCGACAGTGTCCCAGATCGCAGCCCCCCCGGGACGGAGAGGTCCCGCTCAGATCCCCGCGGCGCCTCAGTCCGCGGGACCCACCAGCAGCCCTCGAAAGTGGCGACAGTGTCCCAGATCGCAGCCCCCCAGGGACGGCGAGGTCCCGCTCAGATACCCGCGGTGCCTCACTCCGCAGGACCCACCAGCAGCCCTCGAAAGTGGCGACAATGTTGCACATCGCAGCCCCCCAAGGACGGCGAGGTCCCGCTCAGATCCGCGCGGTGCCTCACTCCGCAGGACCCAGCAGCCCTCGAAAGTGGCGACATTATCGCAGGTCGCAGCCCCCCAGGCAAGATGCACACAAGAGGTACCGCATGCAATATGCACACGCACACGCACACACACACACACACACACACACACACACACACACACACACACACACACACGCACACACACACACACACACACACACACACACACACACACACACACACACACACACACACACACACACACACACACACACACACACACACGCACACAGGCGCGCGCGGCACCCACAAGGCGAGAGGAGACAAGAGGGAGGCGGGAGGCGGGAGAAGAAGGAGGGACGCGACCACAATGCTCTATTCAAAACGAATACCCAACCAAGGAGGGTTGGGAAACAACGGAACAAAACAACAACAAAAACAACCAAATATACAAAAATGGTCAACACATCGTCCCCAGACTGTTGTTTTGCCTATTCCCGACGTGCAACGCTGGCGCAGGCAGGACCCGCATCACCGTGCCACAAGCCCCGCGTGGAGTGCCTTCGGGTCCCTGCGAAGCTCTCTGCGTGTACTGAGGTTGCGCGGGTGCTCTGGAGGGGCCCGCGCCCCTGGACGAGGCCAGGGCGAGGATAACTTCGGGGGAGGATAACTTCAGGTCGGGCCTATCCCGTACAGGCGGATTTGAAGGGGGCCATTAAAAAGTAAAACAATGATCAAATAATGCTCTAACATAGTCAAGAAATCGTCTCCAGACGATTTTTGACTATGTTTGAACATTCCCTCTGTAGAAGGACGCGCCTGACTGAAAGAGGAATCGATAATCTCTGAGATCCGGCGGCTCGGGAGGATGTCTCGGGCGCCGCGGCCTTCTCAGAGCGTTTCGGAACGGCCTGAAAGCGTCCTGGAACGCTCTGGCACGGATCTAGGCCTCGTCCTAGCCCCGTCCGAGGGGCGCTCTCGGGCGCGACAAGATCTGCGCGTGCCTCTTTCCGAGGCCCAGGTCTCGTGGCTGGGAGCTCACCATTCCAGCATGGCAGAAGATGGCCGCAGGAGGCGATCCTGGGCCTCTCTCGGGCACCCCTGGGGCCGGCTTGGAAGTCCTGGGGGCCTGCCCAAGCCCTAGAAGTGAATACCGTCCAAGTGCCGAATGCACCGTCGTACGATTTCAGCAGCGCAATTTTCCGTCGTAGAGGAATCCCAAACGACCCAAGAGGCCTCCAATATCGCCCCAAGGCTACTACCCTCAAGGCCCCCAAGAGTGCCTAAGAGGCCACAGGAAGAGCCCAAGATGAAGAGCCCGAACAGACATGTTCGCACTTTGGTCCAATCTACTAGTCCCCAAGACCGCCAGCGAGCCCCCCCAGAGGCGCTCCAAAGCCGCGAGAGTTTCCCGAGAAGAGCCCACGAGGTCCCGAGGGACCTCAAAGAGAAGCTTCCCAGAGGTCACCAAGAGCTCTTCCAAGAGACCCCACAAGGTTTGAGGGTTTCAAAGATGCCACCTGTCCACGAAAGGCACGGTGGCGGGATGGGCAGAATACCACTCCATGATCTTCGCGAGACGAACATGGACAAGATCTAGCGCGTCTTACGAAGTGCTGCCTGCATACGTTGACCTCCTGTCTTGCACTGCCGAGCGGGAACATATCGACTTCATGGTGACGCAACCTCGCAATGTACTGCCACAAGGGACTCAACACATCGCCAGGATGGCTCCGCCGGCTCCGATCGGGATTGCAAACACCACGCGTGCTGCCCCACCCAACCGTTTTTGGCCGCGACGGCCATCGCAATGAGCATGTTGTGGACGCGCGTTCCGACGCCGTCCGAGGACTCCTGAGCGCGGGGAAGGGATCCAACCCCGAGGCATCGTCGACCCCGGACCACGACGCCTGCACGACTCGAGGAACAACCAATGGCCTTCACATGCAAACGTTTGGAGGTCCGCGCTGCCTTCTTCGACTGGGGCTGGACGCCCCCATCCCTGGCGCGCGGGGCGCGCCAGGGGCGGCGCTCGGGGCGCCGCCATGGGGCTCCAGCTCCGATCCAGGAGATCCGCGCGGAGCTCCGAAGACTTCTGTCCACACGCCGGTCGGAAGAGGTGGGTAGAAACATGAAGTAGGAAGGCGGACAAAGCAGATTGGGTCCAGGCCCTCCCACAGAAGAACAAGACACAACAACGTCATACCGAGTCTTGAAGTTAGGCAGGCGCTCGAAGCAGACTGGGATCTGGGGCTCCAAAAATACCGACTCTCAACGCCTGGCGTGTGGATGCTCGGTCCCTCGAGGACCTGAGGCCCAGACGTCGGCACGGCCGCGCCGGGCAGTACAGTACGACCATCACGAGTCCAGGTGGCACATCGTGCGCAGCCTAGGGGAACAAAAAGTGGCATGACCATAAAAACTGGGAGGTCCGCGCGGATTTCTCGGATCGGCGCTGGACCCCCCTCCCTGGCGCGCGGAGCGCGCCAGGGGCGGCGCCGGAGGCGCCGCCGGGGGGCCCCAGCGCCGATCCGAGAAATCCGCGCGGACCTCCTAGTTTTTATGATTATGTCACTCTCTGTTCCCCTAGCAGCAGTTCTGGCCGGGGTGCGTTCGCGCCAGATGCGGGCAGAGGCCCGATGGTTCACGCAACCGCCTCGCAACGAGCACGGGCAAGAGACCGAGAGTGCTGCTGCGAAGGAGCTTAGTTTATCTCCAGGCTTGTGTCATACATCGCATTCCAAGGCTCGACCTTTGCAATGGTTTCCGAACTCGTTTTGCCCTGGTTGTCCCTCATTATGTCTTCATGCACCAAATGCTGCAGAACAAGTCAAAACGACAACGGTCCGCGAAAAAGCCAAAACAACGTTGAGTTCGAGCCCAGTCGCACTGCACAGCCACGAACATGCTGATAACTCACCCGGTACCCAGACTTGGACAAATAAGAAATTACTGCCAGGAAGCAACAGGCGCACCCCCTCAGAACGGCCTCCCGCAAATTGCAAATCGAGCAACACCGTAAGACACAGAGTGGGTCTCGGCTACTCCTGAACGTGCTCCTTCTAAGATGCCTAGCTCTGTGTGCGGGGAGGAGGGCTTATACGCCAGACCAGACGCAGGAAGCCGGGGATGCGTGGGCGAAGGAAAGGGACACCAAGGGCGAAAATCATGAAAACGATAGGGAAGGACAAACGGAAGAAGTGAAGAGAGGAAATGCCGGTGTTGGCTCGCCAGCCCGTTCCCCGAGTGCCCGGCAGAAGCAGAAGCGCGCGCCTGGACCCAGAGCTTCGGCGAATCGGCCGGGTGCGTCACGCAGAGGAGGCAGTCGCTCAGGGTCGCGTTGGGCACGGACCCCACGCGGTGGTTGCCTCGGGCGTGCTGCGGCCCAGCAGCTCCCGTCCCTCCTCCCGGGGGGACGCGGTGATGGGAGCAGGAGGAGTGAGGAGCAGGAGGGATGGCCAGAGGCGGAGCCGAGAGGCGAGACAGAGAGAGAGAGAGAGAGAGAAAGAGAAAGGGCGAGACAGAGAGGAAGAGAGAGAGAGAGAGAGAGAGAGCTGTGGAACCAGGCTCATCTCTCGTACGCAGCATGATATCCGCACGCCCGCCCCCCCCCGGCCCCGCACACGCTAGTGTTGGGGTGGGGGGGGGGAGAGATCGAGATTTAAGCGGCGACTCGCGAGACAGCCCGCACCATTACGCAGCCTCCCTCCTCTTCCCCTCCCACCCCCCCAAACCCGTCGCCTCCACACCCCTCCTCTCCTTCCATCTACGTCCATATCCCTCCCCGTAACCTCCGTCCCCTCCACTTCACCTCTATCTCCCCTTTCCCCCTCCCTCCAACACTCCTCCTCTTCCTCCTCCTCCTCCTCCTCCTCCTCCTCCTCCTCCTCCTCCTGCATGAAGCATGACTGGCATGTGCTCGGGATCTGCAGCAAGCTGGCAGCCACGGTGAGCGGCGGGTGGGGCCAACATCACGCGCCCGCCCGTCCGTCTCCCCACCTCCTGCGGCCGGGAACTCCTTCATAGCTTTCCGCGGCGGCGGCCCCGTTTTTTTTCATTATCTTACGTTGATGGTCATGCGGGTCATGAGTTGTCAACTCCACTGCTCGCGCTCTGGCACGGCCCGCTTTGCCCTTGGCAGCATGTTGCGAACAATGCTTGAAGACCTGTAGACGAGCGGGCCCCCAGCGGTCTCGAGGCAAGGTGTGTCTCGGAAGGTCGCTGTCAGACCGCATGCCCAACAATCCAGAGAATTCCACCTGGTATGGCTGACAGGCCGCGCGTTCAGAAACCGAACTCGTGCTCCCTGATGGCCTGTCATACCTCTCCGAGCTGGGTCACCGCAACACAAGCGGACACTGGGTTGGTGTGCCAGTCTGGCGGCTATGCCGCCGAGCATCTGCGCATCCGCGCCCTGGAGAGCCACATGCAACACTAGATCGATCCAGACGGTGCCGCGAGCGGAGCTGTTGGCCCTGGCTCCGCAACCGCCGCGGCTCCAGAGGGGTGGCTCCTCGACGGCAGCTCGACTGACCGACGGAGCCAACTTCCGCCGGCTCGGGGCACTGAATGCGCCAAACAAACGAGTGAATACGTCAGATTCGTGTCGTGCCGACTTCGGCGGTGGTTTCTGACACCGCGGGGATCGTTCACCTTGAACGATCGGCCACTTCCGAAACGTCCGGATCGTTCCACGTCGAACGATCCTGGGTCGCCCGCGGCTCCCAAGAATGAACGCCGCTGGCGGGGTCGCCGCTGGTCGACACGACACGAACCTACCGCAGCGTGTCGCCCCGCTCCGCGGGGCGGGACGGTAAGGGGACAAAAAAAATGGAACCCCTTCGTCTTCGGCCCCGCATTCGGCCCCCCCCCCCCTCCCCCCAATTTCAAAGTTGGGTTCGGCCTCTCGGAGGCCCTGGGGTTCCGCTTTTTGTTGTCCTCTCACGCCTATGCTGCCAAATGCTGGAGGCCAACTTTGAAATTGGCGGGAGGGGGGGCGTGGTGTCAAAGGTTCCACTTTTTGTCCATCTACGGGAGGTCGGGCAGATCCCGGGTCGCTGGCGCTGGGGGGGGGGCCAGGAAGCGGACGGCGTGTCGCACTGCAGCGTGGTGGGCCAAGGCCGGCGGTGCGACACGCTGTCCACAGGTTCCCGACCGCATCCTCAGGAGAGCCCAGAATCGAATCGATAAGTCGGATCGGCGATCGAAAGAATCGGATCGGCGGAAATCGGCAGCCGAGTCGGGAAAAGTCGAATCGGCAGACATCGGCAAGCTAATAGGCCTCCAATAAGAAATCGGAGCCCAAGTCGGAATCTCAAGTCGAATCGAATCGGAATCGGAAGCCATCGAAAACGAACCGAATCGGATCGGAGGAATCGAAACGAGCCCTGCATCCTCCCCCACTGACTGCCCACCAAACCACCACAATCTGACCCGAGGACCCGGATTTCGGGTTGGGGAGGGGTACGGGTTCCACAAGTGTGTTTTCAATGCTTCCCGACCCCCCCCCCGACTGGCAATGGAGGGCAAATCGGGGCTTTCGGGTTGGGTTGGGGTGGTTGTTTGGTGGGCGGTGACCCACGTCCTCCTCCTCCTCTCATTGCCGTGCCCTCCCCCAGTTGCACCTCAAGTAAGTCTTCCCAAAACTGGCTTGCACCCTATGGCCTGTTCGCCGATGTTCCAAGCGAAGTGTGGACCTGCTAAGAGGGCTTCAACTTAGAAGCGCCCTCCTCATTCTCCTCTCATTGCCGTGCCCTCCCCTGGTGTCACCTCTGGGAGGTCTTCCCAAAACTTGCTTACACCCGGTGGCATGTCCGCCGATGTTCCAAGCGAAGTGCGGATTCATTCCCAAATATCTCTTGGAGCGCTAAGAGGGCTTCGGATTAGAATCACTCTCCTCATCCTCCCCTTGTTACCCTGCCCTCCCCTGGTTCCACCTCTGGGAGGTCTTTCCAAAACTGGCTTGCACCCGGCGGCATGTTCGCCGATGTTCCAAACGAAGTGCGGATTCATTCCCATATCTCTGTTGGAGAGCTAAGAGGGCTTCAGATTAGAAGTATCCCCCTCATCCTCCTCCCATTGCCGTGCCCTCCCCTGGTTCCACCTCAAGTAGGTCTTCCCAAAACTGGCTTGCACCCGAGGGCATGTTCGCAGATGTTCCAAGCGAAGTGCGAACTTATTCGAAGATAACTCTTCGAGAGCTAAGGGGCTTCATATTAGAAGCGTCCTCCTCATTCTCATCTCGTTACCCTGCCCTCCCCTGGTTCCACCTCTTGGAGGTCTTCCCCAAAACTTGCTTGCACCCTATGTCATGTTCGCCGATGTTCCAAGCGAAGTGCGGATTCATTCCCAGATATCTCTTGGAGCGCTAAGAGGGCTTCAGATTTAGAAGCACCCTCCTCATCCTCCTCCCTCTGCCGTGCGCTCCCTCAGTTTCGACCTCTGGGAGGTCTTCCCAAAACTGGCTTGCACCCAGTGGCATATTCGCCGATGTTCCAAGCGAAGCGTGGACTCATTCCCAGATATCTCCTGGAGGGCTAAGAGGGTTTCATATTAGAAGCACCCTTCTCATCCTCCTCCCATTGCCGTGCCCTCCCCCAATTCCACCTCTGGGAGGTCTTCCCAAAACTAGCTTGCATCCGGTGGCATATTCGCCGATGTTCCAAGCGAAGCGTGAATTGATTCAAAGATATCTTTTGGAGAGCTAAGAGGGCTTCAGATTAGAAGCATCCTCCCCATTCTCCTCTCGTTACCCTGCCCTCCCCCCGGTTCCACCTCTGGGAGATCTTCCCGAAACTTGCTTGCAACCGATGGCATGTTCGCCGATGTTCCAAGATAAAGGCTAATTCATTCCCAAATACATCTTGGAGAAATAAAAATGCTTCATATTAGAAGCCGGCTGGCAAGGGTAACCCCGGAGATTTATGAGGCTTCCATTCAGACTCCATGCAGCGATTCCACCGACCCTCTAGCTAGTCCCCGAAACGCTATTCCACTTGCTTCTCAATACTTGCGTCGCAAGGGTTCCCAGAAGCTCCTTCGCAGAGCTTCCAAATCTCCTTCGCAAACCTTTCGCAAAGCTTCTGCTGCCCTGCTGTCCAGTTTTGGGGCTGGCATGTACGTGCTCCAGAATGCAAGCCCAAAGTTCACCTAGGGGATCGGCGAACAAAAACAATAGGGCGGGCGGCATGTGTCAGACGTTGTCCCATGCCAAGCCAAACAACATTTTCAAATGATATTCACATGTTTAATGTTTCGGCCGGGTTTTCCCTGGGCCTGGGGATCGCCAGGCCTGAAAACGAAACAGTCAGAGGCCGATTGCTTGTACCTGTAAGGTTGTTCTCATGTGTTCAAGTGTATGTGCTTATGATTGCTTGTAGTTGCATTGTTTCCCTATTGTGTTGGATTGTAGCCAGGGGGATTCGTAGGTCAACAAGTCCAGCCTACCAGGAAAGAAGCATAATGTGACATTTAAACATTTAGGCTTCGTCTGGGAAATCATCCACCACATCGTTTGCACTATAGGGCACGTTCGCCTCCCAAACGAAACAATAGATCTCTGCGGAATTCAATATGACCGTCCACATTGTTTTTTGCAGTATGGAAATTCGGAGTAAAAACGATACGATGGAAGCTAGTTGCTGGACGGTATCTCAAGCCGAACCTTGATTATATGACACTGCATTTTTGGTTTGGACAGGCGGTCTCCCCGGGCCAGGGACTCCCTAGGCAGAATTCTTGTCGCTCGTAAGTGTAAGGTTTTCCCCGAAATCCAAGCATGTACGATTAGTCATCGTTTTACTGTTGTCTTCATATGTTAAGCGGTAGAAAAGTATGATGTTGTTGTGTGTGTGTGTGCTCCCGACGTTCTTATACATATATATATATATATATAGGTTTATGTGTGTATGCATTGATTATGTTGTGTGTGTTCGTGTTGTTCTGGTACTCTGTTTGCCTGCAAGGGTTCCGATGGTCTCAAACTGTGGCCGGGAAATCACCAAGCACTCAGATAATCAGACGCGCGAAATGCTCGTTGAAATGTTCGGCGTTGTCTCTATTCACCCTTTGCTCCTGGCCGGGAAATCACCAAGCACTCAGATAATCAGACGCGCGAAATGCTCGTTGAAATGATCGCCGTTGTCTCTATTCACCCTTTGCTCCTTCCTCCACCCCCACTGTGCCAGCTGAAGACGGCGGACCTCCAGAAACACTGGCACCGTCTAGGCTTAGGTCGGGCACGTCCCCCTACAGGCGGATTTTGGACGACAGACAATTAAACAAAAAAACGAAGATGCCCCCAAATATGCAAAAAAACAGACAAATCGTCCCCATACTGTTTTTAAACATTCCTCCTGTAGAAGGACGTACCCGACGTCAGTCCAGGCCTGTGTGCAGGCTTAGGTCGGGCATGTCCCCCTACAGGCGGATTTTGGACGACAGACAATTCGAACAAGAAACGAAGATGCCCCCAAATATGAAAAAAAAAAAAAAAAAAAAAAAATCGCCCCCAGACTGTTTTTAACCATTCCTCCTGTAGGAGGACGTGCCCGACGTCAGCCCAGGCCTGTGTGCAGGCTGCGGTCGGAGGAGGCCTCCGCCTCGTCTCGCGGCAGAGGTCGGGCGACTCTCTGCAAGAACAAAAAAAGCGCCATGAACGCGACAAGAAGAAACAAAAACGCCACAAACGCGACAAGAAGAACAAAAACACCATGAACATAAATGAAGGGGCCCCAGGACACACAAATAAATACACACAAATAAAAGGATCCCCCATATTTTCCCATATTTTCTGGATTTTTGTCTTCCCCCCCACTTCCCATATTTTCCCATATTTTCTGGGAAATCGAGGATTAATTGTGTCTGTGTGTTTCTGTTCCTCCTGAATAAACTGTTGGCGCTGCGTGCGGATTTCTTGGATCTGCGCTGGACCCCCCCTCCCTGGCGCGCGGAGCGCGCCGAGGGGCGGCGCCGGAGGCGCCGCCAGGGGGGGGGGGGGCCAGGCGCAGCTCCAAGAAATCCGCGCGGAGCGCCAGCAGTTTATGCTGATGGCGTTTTGTTCTTCTTCGACCTTCTCGCAGCAAAGTCAAAAAAAATCAGGTGACACTGAGGGCCCCGCTGCCAAACAGCATGCGGCATGAACGCGACAATAACGGCATGAACGCGACAAAAACGTCAACAGTTTATGTTGATGGCGTTTTTTCTTCTTCGACCTTCTCGCAGCAAAGTCAAACAAAAATCGGGTGCCACTGAGGGCCCCGCTGCCGTGCTCGAGCTCGGGCATCATGGCGCTGCGCGCCCGCGCGGGGGCGGAGAAGTCGGGCAGCTGCTGCGCCTGCGCCGGGATGGGGGGGAGAAAATTCCCGAGCGAGGAGCGCGAGGAGAGCGAGGGGGGGGGAGGCGGAGGGTGGAGGTAGACGAAAAAAGCGAGGGGAGGGCGAGAGGGGAGAGGAGGGGCAGGGAGAGCACGAAAGAGAGAGGGAGGAGAGACCCTGAGGAATGGCGGAGAGGGGTGGCAAGAGGGGTTGGAGAGGGCGGGAACGGGGGGTTGAAGGAGGGAGTGAAAGAACAAGAGCGGGGATGAGATGGTGTGTATCTAGCTGTGCAGATGTATGTATATAGATATGTCTGTCAGGCTGTACTGCCTGTTACACCAAAGCCTGTCTTGGGCCACTGTGGTTTCCCAAATGTTCTAAGTATGGGGTTCATGCGATTAGTGTCGCTTCTCCGCCTCCTCACCTCCCGCCTCCTCTCTCTCTGGCTCGGACTGGGGCTCACTCACGCTCCGACGCGGTGGCACCCATACCCGCTCACACTCACACTCACCCGTTCTCAGACTCACGTGTGCACAAACCGGTCACGCATCCAGATCCGCCCATACTCAGCTTAGTCATACTCAGTCTCATACCCCCAGACCGCCTGCACCCAGGTCGGTCACAATCAAACTCATTCGCACTAAGACCCAATCACACTCAGACGCACCCACACCCGCAGGCTCGTGTCGTGACTACCCTGGCCGTGTGGATCGCTCAGCCTTGAACGCTCTGTGGCTTCTCGATAGCCTGACCGTTCTAGATTGGCCGACCCTGGGCCACTGGCGGCGATCAAGCCTGAGCGGCCAGATCAGGGTCACCGCTGCGTCGACCCCACACGACCATGCCACATTCATGAAAACGTGTTCGTTTTCGGCGTTTCGACATTGGGCGGAAGGGGGGGGAGGGGGGGGTCTGGCTGCGGACCTCTGCTTAATGCCACTGTTTGCAACAGTGCGTCCTGTGGGGGAGACTCCACCTGCTTGGAGCAGGCGCCAGAAACAGCCAAGATCTACTCCACGGGGGGCGGGAAGGGGGGGGTGCGAGGGCCCGCGCCGATCGGCAAAAGAATGCATACGAAAACGATTGCCACATCTTGCTTCAACAACGGTTTCTGTTTCTCCGATTCCAGCAGCGGCGTGCGAAAAGATGTGTTCCCGATGACTGCCCCCCCGGCCCCCCCCCAGGGTCCGTCCGTTCTTGGGCATGCTGGCCTCTGCTCTCCTCCATCTCATCACCACAACACCATAAGCATCACCACGCCCACCATCATCATCATCATCATCATCATCATCATCATCATCAGCATCAGCATCAGCATCAGCATCAGCATCAGCATCAGCATCAACATCAACATCATCATCATCATCATCATCATCATCATCATCAACATCAACATCATCACCATACGATCACCGCCATCATCACCCGTCATCACCATCATTATAGGACAACCACCACAGCCCGAACTCATCATCATACTCACGAGTATCACCATCACCAGAATCACAATCATTATCATCATCATCATCATCAGCAACATCATCAGCAACATCATTATCATCAGAAACATCAGCATCAGCATCCTCACGTGCACCATCGCAATCATTGACATCATAAAACGTCATCATCACCATCACAGTTATAAGTATCATCACCGTCGTCATCATCACCATCATCAACATCATCGTCAGCATCACCATCATCATCATCATCATCATCAGCATGATCATCCCCAATATCATCACCATCGTCATCATCATCACCACCATCAACAATATCAGCAGTAGCATCCTCACCAGCTTCATCATCATCATCATCATCATCATCATCATCATCATCATCATCGTCGTCGACATCGTCATCATCATCATCGTCGTCATCATCATCAACCCCAGCATCATAATCACCATCCTCATCATCATCCTCATCATCATCAACTCCACTATCATCATCCATCATCATCGTCGTCGTCCTCGTCATCATCATCATCATCATCAGCATCGTCATCATCATCATCATCATCAGCATCAGCATCATCATCATCATCATCATCATCATCATCATCATCATCATCATCATCCTCAGCATCATCATCATATTCCGCATCAGCATCAGCATCCGCATCATCCTCATCACCATATCATCATCACCATCACCATCATCATCAACATCATCAGCATCATCTTCACTATCATCTTCCATCGTCAACCTCGCCATCGTCCTGATCAAAATCGCGGCGCCTCCGGTTGCACTTCTGCCTGGAGCGGCTCCGCCTGCAGCGGCTCCGCCTGGAGCGTGGCCGCCCGCGGCAGCGCCGCGAGCGCCAGCAACGTCCGCACACCGCGGGCCATCCCGGCTGTCGCAGAAGGGGGGCGAGCCGAACGGGGGGAACGAGGAGCCTCCACTCCCTCTCCCGCTCTCGCTCCCTCCGTCCACCGCCCCGTCACACGCTCCCGTGGAGTAGGGATCCGCGCATCGGGCGCGTGGGCGCCAGATCCACGGGTCGAGGAGGGCACCCCAGGAAGCAGGGCGCCAGCGTCGCCCGATGCTGCGGCGCCGATGTTGCACGGGAGCGGCACCCGCCGTCAAACAACGCGCCTTGACCCTTTGGATGCGCTGCCTCGAACCTCCCGCCTCCCTCCTCGATCCCTCCATCCTCCCGATCTTCACCCCATCCCCCCCATCTGTTTACTGGCGCTCTTCCCTCCACCGTCGTTTTGGTTGTCTCTTCTGCCTCCGTTTCTCTCTCTCTCTCTCTCTTTCTCTCTCTCTCTCTCTCTCTCTCTTTCTCTGTTTATTTCTGCGCACCGCTGGCTGGCACCGACGAGGGGCCGGGGACCCCATCTATCCCGCGCAAGCGGGGGCCTCGCGCGCCCCGAACGACGGCGACGAGCCTCAGCCCGCCGCTGATTCTAGCAATACAAGGACCCCTAACCCTTTGGGAGGGGACTAATGTTAGGAGGGCCGAAAACATTAGAGATAAGGCGCCTTGTGCTGCAGATGTATCGAACACAACCGCCCAGATCGACTCTCCCTGAAACGAAAGCGAGGACCTCCGAGAGGCCACGTCTTCCTCGTGCTACTCGGGTTAAGGGTTCCCCACTCCTCGATGAGCCGCGGGGCACCCCTTGGAGCCCCAGCCGAACAAAGGGCCAGCGGCGGACGTCCGCAGGCACGGACTCTTTTCTTTTGCGTCGGCGGCGAGGCAGGGCAGGGGTCGTCTGCGCCAGCGGAGTGGCCCAAACAGGGATACCGTTGAGGCGAACTGTGCCGCCGTGCAGGAGGACGCGGCTGATAGGCGCAGGCACGGCCACACCCTGCGGTGCGCCATGCGCAAACAGCGCAAGAGGGGCACCTGCCCCGCCGGCAGCGCGCAAACGGCGCGGACGCCCGGCCCCCGCCGCGGACCGGGCGCTGCAGGGGCGACGGGGGTAGGGGCCCCCGGGTGGCCAGCACCACGGGTGCGAGACGAGCCCCCATGCCAAGCCGCACCGGGGGAGCTGGCCATCGCTCGGGCGTCCATTTCCTGTGTTTTTTTAATTAACAGCGAAGACTGGTAGGTTTCTAATGGGGCCAAAAGAGAGCATCTGATGACTCCCCAGGGGGGTCTGGGCGGGAGCCGGACAGGCGAGGGCCGGGCTCGTTTTCAGCAAACAGTCACACACTTCGTGCTTTTCGACCTCCCAGAACTCCATCCCCGGGCCACATTTTGAATGCCCGGAACCAACTGTAGGCCACTTCGTGCTCTTCGACTTCCCAGAACTCCATTCCCGGGCCACATTTTGCATGCCCGGAGCCAACTGTAAGCCACTTCGTGCTCTTCGACTTCCCAGAACTCCATTCCCGGGCCACATGTTGCATGCCCGGAGCCAACTGTAGGCCACTTCGTGCTCTTGGACTTCCCACAACACCACTCCCGGGCCACAAGCAAGTCTTCCAAGATTTGGTTGGAGGCCGAGAAAGACGGACAGAACAAATCCAAGTAGCGCGGTCATCATCCCATCATCCTCCTCAATCATCACATCATCATCATCAATGGCTTCGCCGAGCACCCCGGTGGAGACTCAGGTCTTACGGGTCCGTGCCCATACTACTACTACTACTACTACTACTACTACTACTACTACTACTACTACTACTACTACTACTACTACTACTACTACTACTACTACTACTACTACTACTACTACTACTACTACTACTACTACTACTACTACTACTACTACTACTACTACTACTACTACTACTACTACTACTACTACTACTACTACTACTACTACTACTACTACTACTACTACTACTACTACTACTACTACTACTACTACTACTACTACTACGACTACTACGACTACTACTACTACTACTACTACTACTACTACTACTACTACTACTACTACTACTACTACTACGACATCACACTAAATCCATTCATGGGAGTGCCTGTTTTGGAGCTACACTCATTGATGCAAGTGTGTCGTTTGAGGCTCAACCCGTTGATAGCAGTGTCTCGTTTGGAATCACATCCGTTGATAGCAGTGTCTTGTTTAGACCTCAATGCATTTATACAAAGATCTCATTTGGAGATACCGTTATCGAAAGCAGTGTTTCTACTGCTACTACCACTGCTCCCATCACTCCTACTCGTTCACTCCACACACTACAACTACTACTTCACTGTTACCACTACTACCATCACTACTACTTCTACTGCTACTACTACTGTTACTATTACTGCTGCTGCTGCTGTTGCTGCTGCTAGTGTAGCTATTGCTACTGCAACTACTGGCAGTGCCACTGCGACTGCCGCTGATGTTGCCACTGCGACTGCCACTGCGAATCCGAATGCGACTGCGAGAACACCAGAATTCTACAACAGCACTCTTACATGAATACCACAGGCAATGTTTCCAGCTATGCTTCTACACATCGCTGTTAGGTTGCTTTGCCGGGATAATTTCGGTTTCGTGCGTGGCTTGTTCGCGAAATGATCAAGGATGCTCCTCGATGGTCCTCGCCGAGGGAAAAATGCGCACGTCCGAGCGATGCCAAGGGAGAGGAGGCGCGGAGGGAGGAGGAGGCAAAAGTCCAGCTGCCCCAAACGAGCCCTGGCGGAACGGGATGGGGCCCGCACCAGACACCGTGCGCCCGGAGGCGCCGCAGGGCGCCATCACGGCGCCAGGGCAGGCAAGCAGGGCCGTCCTCCTACAGGCAGGGGGACGTTGGGAGAACAGCCAAAAAATTATCAAAGCTGGTGCAAAGAACTGCAAACAAACCCTGCACTACAGTCGGGGCCTTGACCTGAGGAGACCAAAATAAGGAGCGAGACTTTTTTTTTCCATAAGTTAAACTTCGATTCCCGATCGAAAACATAAGGAAGAAAACCTAAGGCAAGCTGCGAAGCACTTAATTAGGGAACGCGGAGCCCCTCCCCAGCGAAAAGGGTTCCCTCTTCAGGGCCCCGACTGTACAGGCGGGCGTTGGGAGAAAAGCCGAACAAATGGTCAAGGCTGGTGCAGATAACTGCAGAAAATCCCTGCGGCGGCGGGCAGGGCCGGCCCGAGTGGGGGGTGTCGGCGACTCCTGCGGGTGTGTCTTGCGAAGGGTGTGGTCTGCAACCCGTACCACAGGGAGCGGGCGAGGACCTAACGCCGTGCCCCGAGGAGGCCCCGAGAGCCCCAACGGCGCCGATCGCAGGCCACACCCCAGCGTGAGCATACCTTCTGTAATCGCAGTGGGGTGGTGGGGGGCCGGCGGGCGCGCAGGGAAGCCCTCTGGAGTGCTTTTGAACAGTCCTCCTGTAGAGAGGGGCATGCCCGACGCGACGCGACGCCAGAGGCCACGCCGAGGCCCGACGCCCGGGGGCCGCGCCGCGAGGGGCAAGGCGGGCGGGGGGGGGGGGGGGGGGGGGGGAGGCCGCCGCACCGCCCGAGGCGAGCCCGCCCCGCAGGGCCTCCGTGGGGCCCCGCCCGGCCCGCCCGCCGCCCCGCCGCCCCGGAGGGCCAGGCCGTGGAGCAGGCGGCCAACCCGAGCGCCCCCCGCCGCCCCCCCTGCCAGAAGCGTGGAGCCTGTTCTCGGCGCTCGTGCCAGCTGCTTTGCACGGCGTTCGCCCCCCCCCCACCCCCATCGCCCACCCTGACCTCCCAGAGAGCTATTTAGTACGGGAGGCCTAAAAACCTACAAAACGAAACGAATCAGCCTAAAACCAAGACATCTACTAGCTCTGAGATAGGTTTTTAAGTCGCGTGCTATTTTTTAGCTCTCCTGGAAGGTCAGGGCACCCCCACCCCACGGAGCCTGTTTTCGGGGCTCGTGCCAGCTGCTTTGCATGGCGTTCGCCCCCCCCCCCCCCCCCCCCCCCCTCCCCCCCCCCCCCCTGACCTTCCAGGAGGGCTAGAAAAATAGCACCGTGACCTAAAAAACCTATCCCAGAGCTATTCTATGCCTTGGTTTTAGGCTGTTTCGTTTCGTTTTTAGGTTTTTAGGCCTCCAGTGCTAACAAAATAGCTCTCTGGAAGGTCAGGGCACCCCCACCCCCACCACCCACCCACCCACCCCCCACCCCCCGCCCCTCTTCCGCGCCGGGCGCTGGCGTGCGGATGCCTCTCTCTCTCTCTCTCGACCTGCGTGTTTTGTCTTCGTTCGCGCGCGCAGGTCGTGCGGGGCTTGCTTCAGGCTCAGGCCCCGCTTGGATGTCCTTAACAGCGCCGGGGGCTTTTTCTTCCGTTTTCAAGATCGACGTTTCTTTCTCCTGTTTTACGATCAACTTTCTATCCGTTTTGGGATTGCCGTCTCGCCGTTTTCGGTTCGTTGCGCGATCCGTTTTTTGATTGCTTCCATCTGCCGTTTTGTGCTCGTTTGCGCTGCGGCGTGGCAGCCGAGCTCCAGGCCCGTGCAATGTTTGTTACGCTCTGGCTCGGCCCCGGCAGGTGCCGTTTCGTTCCTGTTTTGGGCCGCCGTTTTTGTTCTCTTCTGGCCGACCGCAACACCAACAGTTCGAAACCGGGAGGAAAAAACACGCCACCAGCGTTCATGCCCTTGCAAGTCAACCTGCCAGGGTCTAAACAAGCAGGCTCACAATTGTGCACTGGAGGCCTCAAGGCACTCCGGCGGCCGCCTTCCTCGGGGGTCCTCTGACCCGGGTCGATCCAGCCCCGGGTCAGTCCGGCCCTGCAGGATCCTGCAAACTCCTGCAAGAGCATGCGGGACCCTGCGCCCAAGCCCGGGTCCATGCGACCCTGGCCCTGCAGGATCCTGCCAGAGCGGGCGCTCTGGCTGACCCACGTTTGCGCTGACCCCCGTCTCATAAGGCTCCCGACTTCCCCCCGGCGCCCTGCTCCGCCCGGCCGAGGGGGGGCCTCCTCCCCTGACCTTCCAAGAGGGCGAACAAAATAGCACGCGACCTAAAAACCTGTCCCAGAGCTGTTCTACGTCTTGGTTTTCGGCGGTTTCGCTTCGTTTTTGAAGCTTTTAGGCCTCCCGTACAAAAAAATAGCTCTCTGGAAGGTCAGGGTGGGGCCTGCTCCTGGGGCCTGCTGGGGTTCGCCGGCGGCCCCCTGGAACTCTCCAGGGTTAAGTCGGGCCTGTCCTCCTACAGGGGGATTTTCGACGAAAAATAAGACATA